ACTGAATTTAAATTTATACTTATTAAATCGAAAATATCATGCTACATCTTGACTATTGAAATATAATAATTACACTTTAATGTTATTTATGTATTGACAGGTGACATATAAATAAATGTAATAAAATTTTACCCAAACCTTTCATTCCTAACTATAGTAATATTATAAGAAAGTTGAGTTGAGTAACATGTGAACTACTGCAAAATGTTCACTTTCAATAAAAACAAATTATATATATATATATATATATATATATATATACAACGTATATAAAATTTAGCAATCAATAACTCTTGCCACTGAGCATATAACGAAACAACTTACATAATTAAGCATATTTTAAATATTCGTCCGAAGTTTTCATTGAATTAAATACAACCACAAACAAAACAATAACAAATTGTGAAAGGGCTAATTAATAAATAATCAATACGTTTTAAGGTTAAAAGTAGCTTAATTCATGAAATTACCTGAAAACATTTTACATTTCGAATAATAAATTACATACGTCGCATAAATAATAAATGCACCATATAAAAAACAATGACTTTTGTGTTACTTACATTTCTCCAATGTCAAGCTCTCTGACACTTGCACACAAAAATTGTTCACACATAAATATGTTAGCACGCAATATACTGTTTATCTACAATGGTACGAATTAGTAAATATCCCAGAATTGATAATCGGAAATTTGTAATAAATATATAAACGCGAATCACCGGCAATTTTGTTCAATTTTTGTACAGTGTTTTATCTACGATCCAGGCTGTAAATAGAATCATATGCGACTGACGATTTGAGCGTTTGACGTAGCGTTCGTGTTCAGAAATACGGGTCGGTAAGAAAGTACTCTATGTTTTCAAACAAATCTCGGCGATCGCTCCAATGGTGCAAAGCCTTGCATGGAATTTCAGTTTTTGATTATCACTTTCAATTAAAGTTGTTAATGCTATCGGCTATAACTAAATAAGGTTTATTAGAAAATGAAACATATAATAATCAGATCTTTACATGATATATTAATGACTGCTTTAATAATAGTAATTGTTAGAATAATATATTTATTTTATCACATAGCCCACATGATAGTTCCAAGAGGTCTTATAAATACAATATCATATATATATATATATATATATATATATATATATATATATATATATATATATAATACAGGTATAACACAACAGAATACATAATGTAACAATTTCATAAAATAGCATAAAACAAGATAAAGTTATGCTTATTTATCTACGGTGCAAAGCCTTGCATGGAATTTCAGTTTTGATTATCACTTTCAATTAAAGTTGTTAATCCCAGCGGCTATAGCCAAATGAGGCTTATTAGAAAATGAAACATATATTAATCAGATCTTTACATGATATATTAATGACTGCTTTAATAATAGTAATTGTTAGAATAATATATTTATTTTATCACATAGCCCACATGATAGTTCCAAGAGGTCTTATAAATGCAATTATATCATATATATAATACAGATATAACACAACAGAATACATAATGTAACAATTTCATAAAATAGCATAAAACAAGATAAAGTTATGCTTATTTATCTACGGTGCAAAGCCTTGCATGGAATTTCAGTTTTTGATTACCACTTTCAATAACGTTGTTAATGCTATCGGCTATAACCAAATGAGGCTTATTAGAAAATGAAACATATATTAATCAGATCTTTACATGACATATTAATGACTGCTTTAATAATAGTAATTGTTAGAATAATATAATTATTTTATCACATAGCCCACATGATAGTTCCAAGAGGACTTATAAATACAATTATATCATATATATAATACAGTGTTGTACACCCTGGGCTAACAACAATTTATGTTGTGGATCCGTTGCCAACAATTATGTTGCCTCACACCAACGATGTCAACAATTAAAATTTAGGTTCTTCTGCTGCTATCATAAACTTTACCACTGTGGAATATTTAATTAAACATCTGAAGACTTTTATTAATATTTATTTAATTCATTACTTGGTTACACTTAATACACAATTGATATTTTGAATCAGAGTGATGTGAACTGTTTGGCAAGTAAGCTATGAGTGACCACGTTTTGCCCGTCCTCCGGCTTTTTATAATCTCCGTTGGTGACGCAATCATTCTTCTAGAAATATACGTTACAATGACTCACTCCTGTTTACTTTAGACGTAGTTTTGTGGTTTGTTATCGAAGAAAACCGTTACAGGCCTGCATACAATGTTGCATATCTCTAATACAATCTATGAGCTGTGAGTCAGCAACGTAATGCGTCTTTCATATTGACCGTTACATCGAATTTATAATATTATTTATAACTATTGTAAAGGGTGAATACCACTACAACAGATATAACACAACAGAATACATAATGTAACAATTTTATAAAATAGCATAAAACAAGATAAAGTTATGCTTATTTATCTACGGTGCAAAGCCTTGCATGGAATTTCAGTTTTTGATTATCACTTTCAATTAAAGTTGTTAATGCTTTCGGCTATAACCAAATGAGGCTTATTAGGAAATGAAACATATATTAATCAAATCTTTACATGATATATTAATGACTGCTTTAATAATAGTAATTGTTAGAATAATATATTTATTTTATCACATAGCCCACATGATAGTTCCACGAGGTCTTATAAATACAATTATATCATATATATATAATACAGATATAACATAACAGAATACATAATGTAACAATTTCATAAAATAGCATAAAACAAGATAAAGTTATGCTTATTTATCTACGGTGCAAAGCCTTGCATGGAATTTCAGTTTTTGATTATCACTTTCAATTAAAGTTGTTAATCCCAGCGGCTATAACCAAATGAGGCTTATTAGAAAATGAAACATATATTAATCAGATCTTTACATGACATATTAATGACTGCTTTAATAATAGTAATTTTTAGAATAATATGTTTAATTTATCACATAGCCCACATGATAGTTCCAAGAGGTCTTATAAATACAATTATATCATATATATAATACAGATATAACACAACAGAATACATAATGTAACACATTATATTATAACACAAAATTTCATAAAATAGCATAGAACAACATAAAATAATAGAACTTATTTGAAAAGAAAAATAAAGTTTAAGTTGAGCAGGTGGAGATTATTCTATTTGGTGTAGGATGTAGTATTATGAATATCAATATCTTTGTTAATTGTGTTAAATTTACAGGACATAAGTAATAGGCAAATTTAACAGAGAATTAAATTCAAGAATATGATAATTGAAAATATTTTGGTTCGTAAAGATGATCTAATACCATTAAAGGATATATGGTTAAGTATTTGAGGACAGTCTATAGCATTATTACAAACTTTATATAGGAACAAAATACTATCGATAAAACGACATGTGGCATGAGATATACTGAATTCATTAAGCAACTTGCTGTGGTCGAAGCCACAATATTATCATTTCAGTAGGATATATCCTACAGAAATGATAATATTGTGGCTTCGAATGTATATGTTCTAAGTTTGACATTATTTACATTCTAAAAACGTTAAAGGATATATAATTAGGTATTTGAGGGCAGTCTTTAGAATTATTACAAAGTTTATATAGGAACAAAATACTATCGATAAAACGACATGTGGCAAGAGATGATATGCTGAATTCATTAAGCAACGTGTTGTGGTCGAGGCGAAGGATGTATCCTACAGAAATGATGATATTTTGGCTTAGAACATATATATTCTAAGTTTGACCTTATTTACATTTATTCAATTCTAGCAGGGCTGTATTTTGCATAATCTCATTTAATTTCCATTTGCATTTTTGTAAATTGCTCTCTAAAATTACTATATTGAATAGTAATTTTAGAGAGCAATTTACAAAAATGCAAATGCAAATTTTAACTTTTGCAAAACGTTTTAAAATATAATTTGTATAATTTATATTAAATCTTCGATGTACAAATATTGAATAGATTAACTAAAAATTTATATTACCAAATAAAAACCATTTTACTCTAGAGTCAGTTTCCAGAACTATGCTTATGCAAATTTTAATCACACCACATATATTGCTGCGACAATTTTTTTGTACTAGTTAATTGTTTACAATTTATTTATTCTTTTCATAAGAAGTATCAATTTCAATATTTATATATCACTTGAGCTTAGCAGTTGGGCTTTTTACAAGGCTCAGAAGCTTTTCTACCTCGGGGTAGCCTGATGTTTGCTCTTCAGCCTTGTTTATAAAATATTTTATTATTATATATACTGTTAATTGATTTTCTTTAACTATTATTTTAAAAAAGATGTTTTTGTCAATCACCTCAATACCGATCTTGCAATTAATTCTCTAATTGTGACAACTAAATATCATAATTATAATCATAATAAAATAATTACAATATTTGTATCATATTAAAATTTAAACTTTATTATATTAATGTATAGGTCGATATTTTAAATTAAATATAAAAATAAATTTTAATATTAAATTCTTCAAATTACTGTTGTAAACAAATAAACTAATAGCGTTTTAAGAAACTGTATAATTCCTTTAATATTTTTTCCGATTTTTCTACTAGTTTTTATAAAATGCTATCATTTTGGCTTTACACAGCAGTAACTTAAGAATATAGTATTAATATTTATTTCAATGTTCATTTTAATATATCTAATGGTTCAATATCTAATATTATCAGTCTTGAATCATTTTTGAATACAAGATCAGTACATAATGTTTAAATAGTATCATGAACTCATTGATTAGATGGATAGATTATTGAAATAAACTCTAAAAATGCTCAATTTCATTTCTACAAATATACATTAAAAATTATTCATATATAATGAATCGATTACTAAGTAATTAAAATATTATCAAAATAATGTATTTTTTATATTTTATATTATTATACTGCAAAGAATGTTAAAACAGTATTTTTGAATATTAAATGAAAATAATGGTATATTATGGTAAAAATACATTTATTCTTCTGTCTAATACCATACCATACAAAATTCTGTTAAAACTTATCAACAAGTTGTAAGATATGTTGTTGCTCCTGTTCTCGCCATTCACTACTTCCAGCATCTCCTAAGTTACCAGCATATTCTAAAACAAATTTAATTGAAAGATCTATGTATCTTCTGAATAGATTGTATAAAACAATTTAATATAATATATATATATATATATATAGGTATTGTTCATTGTATAATTATATGGGCCTTCAAATAGATGAAAAACACACACAGATAAAAAATGTCATATAAATATAAATCAGCAAAAAAAGCATATAATGCAAAATAATACTGTCAAAGAGCAGGAACTGGTGTAACGTGACGTATTATCGTGACATCACGTTATATAGTGGCGGCCATAATATCACAAAAAAAAAGGAAATGAGAAATATTTTTACAACATCTTTATTATACCATGCATTTATACATAAAATTCTATGCCATCAGTGGATATTTACTTTTTACAACAAAAAAAAATAATCATCACATAACAATGATGATGCCAAAAAGATAAGCGATTATAAATTGCAACTTAGCACATTTCATCCATAGTCACTATTTTATAAAAAAAAGTATCAAAAAACGTAGAGAAATGCAACTGTTCCAGATCACTATTAAGTACTATTTGATTACTTATTGAAACATGGGATAATAAAAATGTTTTAAAAATCATCAAATCACACTTTTACTTGATGCCCTTCAAGAATTCATATATATATATATATATATATATATATATATATATATATATATATATAAATTATGTTTATACATGTTAGTTGTTTACCTCTCATAACATGCCGGATGGTTTTAACTGAAGCACCTCGCTGGCTTAAAATTTGCATTACTCGTGCTTTAATTGAAGAAGCGCCTGAAGAACATACCTCTAAAATTATATAATCAACTAACTGTAAAGTAAATAATCCACCCGACAACCTCTGCATATATATTGCATCATCATCCTCATCTGTTGCAGCTGTCTGAAATTGTAATTAAAATGTAAATTGAATTGTGTAAAATGAATAATTATTCTAAAATATTTCATAATGATTACCTTTTTTTGTTCAATCGTTGCATCAATTTCTTCAACTTTATCGAGATATTTAAAATGTAACTCCAGTAATCTGTCTACCTGTTAAAGATGTGTTATAATATAAGTTTCTAAAAAAAAAAAAATATTTATTAATAACTTTAAAGTATTCCTACTTTTTCATGATCATTTTCTGTGAATTTAGAAAGTAATCTTTGTCTCTGTGATCCTCTGCAATTCCTCAACATACTGGATATAATTGATACAACATGCTCTAGAAAAATAAACTTAATTTAATTTTGAAAAACTCAATATATTATTTTTTAAATTGAACAGTAATTAACCTTCATGCTCATTAGCTGTGAGTAATCGCTTCTTTTGCTTGGGAGTTTTCATGAATAATGGAAATATAGATCTGAGCCCCAAAATATCAACAAATTTTGAACAATTGTCTTTTCCATCAATGCCGGACATAGCATGATCTAGTACTTTCAAGGAACCACTTCTAGATAATTTTTTCTCCCTGAAAATGATTTTTATGAATCAGTTAATGATAAAAAGGAAAATACTTTTAAAGGAATCTATTAGTATTTGATATCAATGATGAAATAATTGATATTGAATATTAAACAACAATTATTCGTCAACACAATATATAAATGGCATTTAAACTTTTCACTTGTCTTGCAGTTACTTACATTTCCATTATAATTATGTAAGTATTTTGTTAAAAGAAACAATACAACATCTATCTGTGCTTTTAATTGTTGTTAAAAGTTGGTGTAATTCGCTTTTGTCAATAATCACGTAACTAATATTGACAAACAATAAAAAAAACAGTAAGAAAATGATAGAGTTGTTCAGCACATTTAATTAATTAATAATTGAAATTTATAAAATAATAATCATAATAAGTTAAAAGTAAACAAAATTTTCGAAATTTATCACATTTTTATCCAAATCATATGAGTTGAATACTCACTATCAATCAATCAATCAAAAGCAATGTATTTTGACTTAAATCAGTGTGCACAACTCTGAACAACAAGTAAAAAATATATATAGCACTATGTATTAAGTATTGTGTCAATTAAAAAAGAAAAATTAAACTGTAATATTATTTATATTAATATTTAACAGAAATTAAAAAGTCCCCTAATCCAACAAGTAAAAAATATATATAGCACTATGTATTTTGACTATGTATTGTGTCAATTAAAAAAGAAAAATTAAACTGTAATATTATTTATATTAATATTTAACAGAAATTAAAAAGTCCCCTAATCCAACAAGTAAAAAATATATATAGCACTATGTATTAAGTATTGTGTCAATTAAAAAAGAAAAATTAAACTGTAATATTATTTATATTAATATTTAACAGAAATTAAAAAGTCCCCTAATCCAACAAGTAATAAAAAACATTTTCTTCTACAGACTGCTTGACTAATTCTTTTTTATGTGGCAATAAATGTACCTTAGCATCAAGTTCATTAGTTGTAAACCTTCACCCTTCAAAAATTTATCTCTATTCGATGTTTGCATCAAAGAACTACATAAGCAATTAAATAAATTTTCCATTAATTCTTGTTCTTCTGCAGAAGCTGGATCATGTTTTTTATACACCTGTATTAATGAAAATTTAAATATGAAAAAAATATAATATATCTATATAATAATACAGTTTAATATATATTATCAAACACAATATTAAAAACTCACTGCGAGCTGTTGCAATAATGTATCAATTCCATCCAAATCTCCTAATAATTGTCTGTTTTCTGGAGAATCTTGTATTAAAATACTAAGTATTTCGCTGCAATATAATTTATTGGCATCAAAAGGTGCCTTTAATTTTAAACGCTTCAATAACCATGCCAGCAAACCCTGTTTAGACACATCATCACAAATTTCTGGCAGATATTCAGTCAGATTTTCAAAAATGGCTATAATATTTATCAATATTATAAAATAAATTATTAGTATTATATAACCTGCATTATTATTTATTATCATGCTTATTATATGTTATTATACCTAGCGTATTGTGCACACCTTCAGCTTCTTCTTTTACCTTTTCATCCAATCGTTCCAAGTTTTGAACAAGCAATGCTGTAGCTTGTTGTTCAGTTAATGCTCCTAGAATAACAAATTAAATTTTGACACAAATAAAATTATAACTAAATATAACCAGTAAATATACAATAAATATTACTTGAATGTAACATATATATATTAAATATAATTACTTAAATGAACTTCTAAAAGTTTACAAAATCTATATTTGTAATAATATACCTATTAATTCATCGGCGCCTTCTCTACTTTCATGAAGTACATCAACATCAGTTATTTCCTGCAAAAGATCAACTACAGCAACTGCTATATCTGTATTTTGATGAGATAATAATTCTAGTAATGAATTCACAGCATTTAATGAAACCAATATTGGATATAAATCTGGAGTGGTGGCAACAGCATGCAGTTCCTGTAATACATAAACAGTAGTTAGATAAATATCTCTATCAGTATAGGGAATTTATAAATATTGATGAAGCAGTATTACATCAGATCACAAATCTACAAATACTAAATACTATAGACTATAATGAAAATATTAAGCCTTAATTATTAGAAAGACTTTTGGGCTTTTTGGGCTTTTCTTTTTTATAATTTTCAATATGAGCACAATGTCGTTAGAAATTATATTTGAATATAGGTCAACAAGCAATATAAGCAAAATTTCATTCTATTCAAATCCAATAAAGAGATATTATTTATGTACCTTCTCTCGCTCTGGAAATGAAGCACTTAATTTCTTAAAAATCCATCGACTTACTGGTAATAGAAAATGAGTAGAAAATAAGCATGCTCATAAAGGGTTGAAGCAGATTTTCTTTCAATTATTTAAAAAGAAAAAAAAAACACAGATGTTGATTTTATATTTTATCTTAAGTTCTTATTATAGTATTTATATTAAATTCATAATATATGATCGTTTTTGTAGTAAAATAAAATATAAAAAAGTTATTGCAAATATATAATTGATGAGGCTATCATTTTGAATATTACATTTAAATTCAGTAATTCAGATTAATATTTTTACAAATTCTCAAGTGCTGAAGATAAATTAATAATCATCAATTCAATGCTAAATACCTGAATTGTTTGATGAAGTTCAACTTCACTTTCCATAAACTTATCTGGAGCCTCGGGAAATTTAATTCGTAACTCTTGATTTTTAAGCACTCTTTTCTCTAGCATAAGAATTAAACGTTTTAAACCTGCTTCATCTAATACATCGCCCTGTAAAAACAAAACTAAGAATAAATTGCAAAATTAAAATGTGTGTTCACAGAATTTGTAATACTTCTGGTTCTTCATTTTCAACATATTTGAGAATATCTATTTTGTCATTTTCATTGACACTAGATTCTTCGGCAAACGGTGCTGAGGATCGAATTATCTGTTCAGCTTTTTTTTTAGCCATATGACGCATTTTTGAAGTTTGCCTTACTTCAACCTCATCTTTCTCACTTTCTTCTTCTTCTAATGGACGTTTTGGTGCTTGTGGGGGCTACAGAACAGATTATATCAAATGAGAATTGAATACTATTGAGAAACATATTATATTGATTTGAAAACATTCCCATGAAATTCTTTGAATGGATAAAAATAAAATGATAGTATATTAATTAATGTAAAGTCACAATTTTAAAATAACTAAATTACTAACATGGCTCAGAGTATGTGCTTAGCAATAGTTTACAGTATTTTATTCAGAATGAAAAATGAAAAAATACGTTATAATATCATATGTCATACAATAGCAATAATTTACATTTAACACATAATTATTACTTTTGTAACTAAATTTGTGTGCATTTTTCTTTGAAATGAAATAAAATATAATTAACTATAATAAATATTATTTAGTTTAATTCTGATTATTGTCATTACTTCATTGTTTAAAAACTTGTAGGTTGTAAAATACTTTTGGAAACTCATATTAATTAAGATAATTTCACATAAATACCTTATATGCTAATAATTCATCGACTTCCATTTTATCTAATTTATCAAATAGAGTTAATTATAAATATATCTTATAAAAATATTAGGATAGGATTAGAATTATTGTATTGAGCTTTCTTCTTCTATATTGTTTTGTTGACAAGTTATTGAAACCACATGTGAACAACTTCACAAGCGAACGAAAGACATGAAAATTAAATGTCAAAATCAGTTTAATTGAAATCATTTTTTACTATTTTTTTCAATAAATACGTTCAATATTATTCATGGTGCAAGATTCGTATATATATAATTATCAACTATTAATAACTTTTTCTAGCTGTTCTAATTCAACCTTTAGACAAAATGAAGAAAAAAGTATAACTTATGATTAAAAATATTAAAATGTATTGCAAAATATTTATGATTACTATTGTTATTATCCTGGCAGGTTCTTTTGATGGGCAAAAGCGGATCTGGGAAAACTAGCATGAGATCAATAATATTTGCCAACTATATTGCTAGAGACACAAGGAGGCTGGGAGCAACAAGTTATGTCGTAGTATTATAGAGTTTCTTCACGTCTGTTTATATTTATTATTGTTTTATTGAAATTAAACTTTGTCATTTTACTTGATAAGTAAATTATTTGTGATACAACTCTTTACAACAATCTTAACTGAAAAAAATTGAGTATATAAAATATTCCATTTTAAAGGTCATTACTAAGTGCAAAGATTTCAGTAGAAATTATATTAGGCTATTAAAAACACTTCAAATTATTATACTCAATTGTTATAATAATTTTTTTTAAAAAACATGTTTGTGATGAATGACCTCTATTGCATTTGCAAATTAAACTTAGTCTCCGGTTTCATATTTTTAATTAATGCCAGATTTATAAAATGCATTATGTATGAATAGTATTTATATGGTTAATTTAATATGATGCAGAACTTTGAAAAACACTGCTTTTTTGTTTAATTATATCTTAACTCTTACAAAGCTGATTATTCCTAATCTTAAATATATTACAGTTGATGTTGAGCATTCCCATGTTCGATTCTTGGGTAATCTTGTTTTAAATTTATGGGATTGTGGTGGACAAGAGGCCTTCATGGAGAATTATTTTGCATCACAGCGAGATAATATTTTCAGAAATGTTGAAGTTTTAATATATGTATTTGACGTTGAAAGCAGAGAATTAGATAAAGACATGCATTATTATCAATCTTGCCTGGAAGCCATATTGCAGGTTTTATTTTATACTTCTTGCACATACAATGATTTTATACTTCTTCCACATACTTTGTTTTTTTTTTAGAACTCACCAGAAGCAAGAATTTTTTGTCTCGTGCACAAAATGGACTTGGTTGCTGAGGAGCAACGTGATATGATATTCAGAGAACGAGAAGAAGATTTAAAGCGATTAAGTAAACCTCTTGAATGTACTGCATTTAGAACTAGTATTTGGGATGAAACTTTATACAGGTATATTTAATTAAATTCTGTATACATATGTAAATATATAATTTTTGTTTTTACCTTTTAGGGCTTGGTCAAGTATTGTTTATATGCTAATACCTAATGTAAAAGCGTTAGAAAATTCCTTGGCACAATTTGCAAGTATTGTTGACGCTGATGAAGTGCTTTTATTTGAAAGGGCAACATTTCTTGTAATTTCACATTGCCAAAGAAAGCCTCACAGAGATGGTCACAGATTTGAAAAGGTATCATTACATATAATGTGAGGTCTCTTAGAAGCATTAGAAATTTTTACACTCAATAAGTATTTCTCTCCAGTTTGTTTTTTAGATTTTGTAATTAACATAGAAAAATTTAAATCTTGCAATAATTATTTAGACTATATTTACAATATCTTCAACAAAAATTAAGGATATATAATTGAACATATATTAAATCACTATTAATTCAATTAATTCTCTATTTTATATAAGAATGTTTCTTTCTAGGTATCTAACATAATTAAGCAATTTAAATTGTCCTGTTCCAAACTGGCTGCACAATTTCAATCAATGGAGGTACACTTAATATATTCTTGCTTTGTTATTACATTATTAATGTTTAATTATTTATAGGTGCGCAACAGTGCATTTGCTGCATATATAGATATTTTTACTAGCAATACCTATGTCATGGTGTGTATGTCCGATCCTGCTATTCCCTCTGAAGCAACACTGATCAACATCCGCAATGCAAGAAAGCATTTTGAAAAACTTGAAAAAGTCTCATCCACAACTGTTTCTCACCGTTAGATTTATATTATATTGAGTGAATAACTCTTTTTTATTATATTATTTTATTTTGCATATAACATGACAATAAATTATATATTATGTTATATAGTCAATATATGTGCAATGTTCTTTTAAATCACTTGCAAAATTTTTATACAAAAAGTTACAAAATACTAATTTTTACAATAAACATTATAAAAATTACAAATATAATGCAGACTTAAAATGACAGGCCATTGATTTTGAACACAATTGTTAATATAAATTAAAGTTAATCCTATCAACTTATATAATACAGTCGAACCTTAGAAGTAGTAATTAATCTATTGGCATCATAAAATTTAGTTTCTATCACAACATTGCCATTCAGTACACTTGCCGGCATCATTTGGGATTCAGGAGCTGCTTCTATCATGGACTGCCAAGTGTTCGTAGAGTTTGGTATGACAAATCCAAACTCAAAAAACCATTCTTCTAAGCAATGTCCTTTGAACAAAACTTTTTGTTCAATTCGAAAGTTTTCAATAGAATGTAGAGAAGAAAAATTTATTTCTCGGGAGATGGCTCTTGATTTCAAAATTTTCTTAGGTACTTTGGCTTCGTGTTCAACATCAGGTTCTGAGAGATCTTCATGGCCTTCCCATAAAACTTTTCCACTATCAACATCTTTCAAATTCATCCAATTAATTTGAAATCCGCGAAATATCTCATGAACTTCTGTCATGACGGTAGGAATGCTGGACAATAATAAATATGATTTGATAATGATATATTATGGCAATGTCTATTAATTTATAAATTAAATGTGTAATGTAAACTCTATGCGATAAAAGTGTTTCATTTCTTTAATATATTTATTATTTATGACTTCACATTTCGTACAATAAAATCTAAATGTTTATATTTTGCAAAAACTGATGGCTAGTTTGACAACTACATACTACATTATACCAAAGCATAGATAATCAAATGTGTCAGAGCATAGATAAATGGCTCATAGTAGAGTCCTTCATATGATAACACGCAAAGTGCGACAACTTAATCATCAATCGTGATGAACTTCATCTCTGTCCGTATCATATGAAACTCCACATTCTCGTACAACAGCTGTCAATTTTTTAAGTTGAAATATAAATGGTATACAAATAATTTTTTTTTAACGTCTTTATCATTATTTAAATATTTTTGAGGATAATAATATCTATTCTGAAATACTTTTTAATATCATGGTTTCTGCGAGTACTTCGTAGAAGGTTAAGATTTTTTATGGACTGTGACGATATATACCAATGATTTCTTTATATTATTAGCACAAACAATTATATTGGTGCAAGAAACTATTTCCATAAGGTATATTAAAATAAATTCTGAATTTACATTTATACTATTTCATATACTAATTCAAAATGCAAATACTTATCATCTTTTTAAATGTGTTGCCAAGACCATAATTAAAAGAGACTATAATACTTAGTAAAGTACCTGTAAATCATCTAGAGTCTAGACAAACTTTTAATCATGTTTGTGCCAAGCAGTACACAGTTTAACATCAAGTTTTATTAAAGAGGCAAAACTTGGAAATTATGAAGCGAATTGATTCGATCCTCAAGTTTTGAGATAAATTTAAATTTAAATTTGTGAAATCATGAAAAATTGGTTTTAATTCATTTTGTAAATCATTTATCAAGTAATTTTTATTTAAAGCAATGAGAATTTATCACCAACATTTGACTGTTCGGAATCAGTGTAGTAAGTTGTTGTAGTCTAGAAAAATATTAGAATTAACTGGTCACATGTCTGCTGTTTTAAAGCAATTACTTGCATACTGGACGTTTACAGTTTTTGCACTTGCTCATTAATCAAACACTCGATGCGTAAACCGCAAACAAAGTGACCTGGATGATTTTTCAGTCACTTAGATATTTCTTGATTGAAATAACTTGTGCAATGTTCAATGGGTGCAACATAATGGTAAACGTAACATATGAATTTCTTTGGTATAAATGAAACAGTAGATGTTTTTGACTTAAGTGACCATCACAAATAGGTAGAACGGGATTGCCATTGCTAGATTAAGTATGTGCCTGAAAATGTTAAAAATTTTAGAAACACCTTTTGATTTTTATCTATTCTGATTCTTTTGCTAGCCCAACTGTACTGATTCCAGTTTTATCCATAATTAACATTGCATCTCATTCTTCATAAATATGGAGAAATTTGACTGCCTGAGGTTTATTAAACCTTTGCACTCTTGATGAAGAATTTTTTTCAGTGCGTTCAAAGAAATGTTATTATTACTTCTTAGGAAACTGTTAAGACATCTTTTTCGGAACATTTCTTGTTAGATACCATTTTTTTCTGCTGAACTGGTGCACAAAGGAAGCTTTTACATATATTTGATGCCCAAGATACTGCAACATAATTTTTGAATAAATCAAAAAGTCTAGTGAGCCTATTAAAGCCAACATCAGTTTATCTATTTTATATTTTTCAGGTGCTCTCAAATTACACAAACCAAAAATTATTTGTTGACAAGTTGAAAAATATAAATTTCGAAACTAGTCTGAAGTCTTAGTCTGAAATTAGGAGATTCACTGAAATCCTTCAAGATGTAGATAGTTTAATATCTTGAAAGTGATATTATCAATAAATATTCTTAAAGATTTAATTACCAAAACAAATTAGAATTTAATATCTTAACCCAGAGTGATAAATTTTGAAATACCAGTTGACATACTGGCACCAATTTAATACTTTTTTACTTCAATTTGTGTTTCTCGAGAAATAAGATCTTATTTCTCGTTTTTTGGGTTGTAAATTGAGTGTAAGAAATTGCTATTTAAGTTTATTTTTAATT